AGGTGGGTGCTTCACAATGGGCATTCAATTAGGATAGTTTCCACCTGGTTAAAAAACTATGCACTAAATCCAACCAGTCACCTCATGTGGGACTTGATGTCCAGCAGCTCCAAGGCGGTGACACGGGGTTCCCCGGCCACGTTCTGCAGGATCTTGAGGCGCGGGCCGCAGTGCTTGTAGAACTCTGTGCAGATGTTCAGGAGGGACTCCCTGGGCCGGCGGAACTCCTCGCGGGCGATGCGCTCGTCCAGCTCCTCGCGGGGCATCCCCTGGCCCTCCTCCAACAGGTGAAGGTTGTCCCTGATGCCGGACACAAGGCGACTGACATTGACACCAAGCAACACGAGTACACGACACAAACAAGCATCCATGAAACATGATCATTTATACCAATTGTGGTATAAACAGATGGGACATCTTCTATTGTCTTTGAGTGAATTGATATCACTACAGAAAAACAGCATCCAGGAACATCAACAACACTACATTTATGTCTTTTAGTTATTAAGAAAATTAGGAAAAGTAATAAAACAACAATATGTTCATAACAACTACCACATGGTACAGTGTCTTTAAGAGACTTAAATGAAGGTGAAATAAGTAATGGACTTTACACCTGCCGGACTGTGTCCAAAATGGCACCCTAATGGACCATGCCTACAGTAGGCTACTCCACACCTGGTGTTGGGTCCTCCAGACATGGCGTGGTTGGCAGTCGTTGCCCCTTTGTGTCCCTGGTCACAGCGACTCAACTGGGGGGCAGTCATAGGCCTGAGAGGGGTGGGAGGGGAGGAGAGATGGAGGGGAGGGGAGATGGAGGGGAGGAGAGATGGAGGAGAGGAGATGGAGGGGAGGGGAGATGGAGGGGAGGGGAGATGGAGGGGAGGAGAGATGGAGGAGAGGAGATGGAGGGGAGGAGAGATGGAGGGGAGATGGAGGGGAGGGGAGATAGAGGGGAGGAGAGATGGAGGGGAGGAGAGATGGAGGGGAGGGGAGATGGAGGGGAGGGGAGATGGAGGGGAGGAGAGATGGAGGGGAGGAGAGATGGAGGGGAGGGGAGATGGAGGAGAAAAATGACAAATGTCACTTTCAATTAGGGCTGGAACACATGATGGGCCATATCTGCTTATCAGATGCATAGCTTGTGCTTGTATGTGTGTGTGTGTGTGTGTGTGTGTGTGTGTGTGTGTGTGTGTGTTTGTGTATGTATGTATGTGTGTGTGCGTGTGTGTGTCTGACCGTGTGAGGGTCTCTGAGCTGTAGAGCAGGGCTTGCAGGGAGGTGGCCAGGGCGGCGATGGCGGCGATCTCGTCCCGCGCTGCCGAGGCTGACTCCATGGTCATGGTGTTGCTCTTCAGCTTCTGGAGAAAACACGGCACCAGGGCCTCCAGCACCATCAGCATCTGTAGACTGATACAGTGCACACACACAACGCATAAACACATACACACACACACACGCAGGCATGAAAACACACACAGGAGAAGATAGGAGAGGGTGTTAACATATACTAAGCCTACTGTACAATGTTGCTATATTGGGCTGGTGGTGAGTGATGTGAAGTGAAGCCACACCTCCTGAAAGACTCTGGGGCGTAGGCCACTACCGTCACACACAGCTTGATGGACTCACTGATGGAGAAGGCCAGGTCCTCACTACCATAGCAGAAGTCTGAAACAGATAGAACCAATTGAATTCATGCTGAAGCACTTTCAGGCCTTAAGATATGCTGTAGGAAGAACATTACCATTATCAGTCAAGTTCTATTGTTGACTATAACTAGGAGAAACTCCAGGCCTTAGTAAGAGTCTATAACTAGGAGAAACCTGACAAGGAGAAACTCCAGGCCTTAGTAAGAGTCTATAACTAGAGAAACCTGACAAGGAGAAACTCCAGGCCTTAGTAAGAGTCTATAACTAGAGAAACCTGACAAGGAGAAACTCCAGGCCTTAGTAAGAGTCTATAACTAGGAGAAACCTGACAAGGAGAAACTCCAGGCCTTAGTAAGAGTCTATAACTAGAAGAAACCTGACAAGGAGAAACTCCAGGCCTTAGTAAGAGTCTATAACTAGGAGAAACCTGACAAGGAGAAACTCCAGGCCTTAGTAAGAGTCTATAACTAGGAGAATCCTGACAAGGTGAAACTCCAGGCAAGAGTCTATAACTAAGAGAAACCTGACAAGGAGAAACTCCAGGCCTTAGTAAGAGTCTATAACTAGGAGAATCCTGACAAGGTGAAACTCCAGGCCTGAGTCTATAACTAAGAGAAATCTGACAAGGAGAAACTCCAGGCCTGAGTCTATAACTAGAAGAAACCTGACAAGGAGAAACTCCAGGTCTGAGTCTATACCTAGAGAAACCTGACAAGGAGAAACTCCAGGCCTTAGTAAGAGTCTATTAACTAGGAGAAACCTGACAAGGTGAAACTCCAGGCCTTAGTAAGAGTCTATAACTAGAAGAAACCTGACAAGGAGAAACTCCAGGCCTTAGTAAGAGTCTATAACTAGAGAAACCTGACAAGGAGAAACTCCAGGCCTGAGTCTATAACTAGAGAAACCTGACAAGGAGAAACTCCAGGCCTTAGTAAGAGTCTATTAACTAGGAGAAACCTGACAAGGTGAAACTCCAGGCCTTAGTAAGAGTCTATAACTAGAAGAAACCTGACAAGGAGAAACTCCAGGCCTTAGTAAGAGTCTATAACTAGAGAAACCTGACAAGGAGAAACTCCAGGCCTTAGTAAGAGTATATAACTAGAGAAACCTGACAAGGAGAAACTCCAGGCCTTAGTAAGAGTCTATAACTAGAGAAACCTGACAAGGAGAAACTCCAGGCCTTAGTTAGAGTCTATAACTAGGTCCCTAAGTTTTTATTTTCTCCTGATCAGCTCACGCTGTCATAACAAAAAACAATGGGCCATGCCAGCAAAACTATTTGGGCTGGTCACAAGTAGCACAGTATAGGGAGTGTGATCCTCAGTAGCTCAGTTAGTAGAGCATGGTGCTTGCAGTGCCAGGATGGTGGGTTTGATTCCCGGGGCCATCTGTATGTACAATGTATGCATGCATGACTGTAAGTCACTTTGGATAGAAGCGTCTGATAAATGGCATACAGGATATTGAATAGAGTGCCATTTCGGACACAACCTCTAATGATCTAATAGCCCTGAGGGATGGGACCCAGGGGGGTTGAGGTGGTGGTGTTTACCCAGGGATCGTAGGGGTTTCTCAGCCTTAACCAGCTCCAGGGCATCCAGGGTATCACGTGTCTCTCCCTCCAGAGAGACCAGCAGGTCAAACAGGCACTGAGCAGACACCCCCTTAGACAGGCCTGTACTGGTGCACGTCTGGGAGGGAGACACAGTCACATGGTCAGACAACACACGCAGATGCAGATAGGCTTATCATGTAAAGGGGATACCTAGTCAGCTGCACAACTGAATGCATTCAACCGAAATGTGTCTTCTGCATTTAACCCAAGCCCTCTGAATCAGAGAGATGCACACACACTTACTGTGAACTCCAGCAGTGGGGCCACGCTGGCAAACAGCTGGAGGATGAAGGGTTTACGGTGCAGGATGTAGAACTGTCTGCAGCAGAACTCTATCCCCTGTCTCAGCAGTGGGTTACTCTCATAGTCAGCATAGGCCTGTAACACATTACAGTGGGTTACTTTCATAGTCACCATAGGCCTACAACACATTACAGTGGGTTACTCTCATAGTCACCATAGGCCTACAACACATTACAGTGGGTTACTCTCATAGTCACCATAGGCCTACAACACATTACAGGGAGAAATCATACGAACTTGTAAGAAGGCATTGTCATATTGTAACACCATGTGTAGGCACAATTCAAAATTAATTTGGGGATTTGGGCTGCATTTTCTGTGGCCTCCTAAAGCTGGGTTGAAGCAGCATCTTGGCATCAGTCCTCCGGTTCAAATACATGAGCATTTAAGTATTTGTATTTTAAATACTTATTTACTGTATTTAAGTATTTTCAAATAATGTGGCCGAATCAACTACTTCTATTTGAAGTATTCAAATAATTTTCTATAAATACTATTTTAAACTATTTTAAAGTACTTGTTTCCAAATACATTTCAAATACTCCTAGGACCAAACAGACCAGGGTTCAAATGCATGAAGTATTTCAATATTTGTATTTGAAAATACACCCATCTGTGTATTTCAGTATTTTCAACTAAACCTACATGCCAATACTTTCCAAAAGTATTTCCAAATACAGTTGAAGTCGGAAGTTTACATACAAGTTAGCCAAATACATTTAAACTCAGTTTTTCACAATTCCTGACATTTAATCCTAGTAAAAATTCCCTGTTTTAGGTCAGTTAGGATCACCACTTTATTTTAAGAATGTGAAATGTCAGAATAATAGTAGAGAGAATAATTTCTTTCAGCTTTTATTTCTTTCATCACATTCCCAGTGGGTCAGAAGTTTACATACACTCAATTAGTATTTGGTAGCATTGCCTTTAAATTATTTAACTTGGGTCAAACGTTTTGGGTAGCCTTCCACAAGCTTCCCACAATAAGTTGGGTGAATTTTGGCCCGTTCTTTCTGACAGAGCTGGTGTAACTGAGTCAGGTTTGTAAGCCTCCATGCTCGCACACACTTTTTCAGTTCTGCCCACACATTTTCTATAGGATTGAGGTCAGGGCTTTGTGATGGCCACTCCAATACCTTGACTTTGTTGTCCTTAAGCCATTTTGCCACAACTTTGGAAGTATGCTTGGGGTCATTGTTCATTTGGAAGACCCATTTGCGACCAAGCTTTAACTTCCTGACTGATGTCTTGAGATGTTGCTTCAATATATCCACATAATTTTCCTTCTTCATGATGCCATCTATTTTGTGAAGTGCACCAGTCCCTCCTGCAGCAAAGCACCCCCACAGCATGATGCTGCCACACTGTCACACCCTGGCTCTGGGGACTCTATATGTTGAGCCAGGGTGTGTAGATTCTATGTGTTTGTGTTCTGTGTTGTAGATTCTAGTTGTTGTATTTCTATGTTGGCCAGAGTGGTTCTCAATCAGAGGCAACGAGTGTCAGCTGTTGCTGGTTGTCTCTGATTGGGAACCACATTTAGACAGGCTGTTTTCCCACAGTAGTTGTGGGATCTTGTTCCGTGTTGGTTGTGTTAGACCTAGGACGTCACGTTATCGTTTGTTGTTTAGTTTTTTGTGTGCACTTAATAAAATAAGTATGTACGAATATCACGCTGCGCCTTGGTCCTCCTCCTTCGACGATCGTGACAGAAGATCCCACCACACCAGGACCAAGCAGCGTGTCCAGGAACACACGCAGGAGGTAACATTAGTAGATATCCTCCTCGGTTGGGGGCAGATTACGGAGGAGGAGGCCGTCCGTTGCCGGAGGGCTATGAAGGGGGAGACCCAGGCAGGAGAGGAGAAGCGGCGCCAACCGGGCCGTGGTCGGACAGGCGAGAGGCACCCCCAACATTTTTTTAGGGGGGGGCACATGGCATGGACGACGGGGCTGCTGGAGGCAGAGAAGGGGCGAGTTCGTGGACGAGGAGAAAAGGCCACCGGGTTACGGGAGCCATTGGTGAGAAAAGGGAAGGAAGATGTAGAGGCACGGCGAGAGGTACTGAGGTGTATTGCCAGTCCGGTCCGGCCTGTTCCTGATCCCCGTTTAAGGCCAGTGGTGTGTGTTCCCAGTACGGTCCGGCCTATTCCTGTCCCTCGCACCAAGCCTACGGTGCGCGTCGCCAGCCCGGCCCGGCCTGTTCCTGTCCCTCGCACCAAGCCTACGGTGTGCGTCGCCAGCCCGGCCCGGCCTGTTCCTGCTCCCCGCACCAAGCCAATGGTGCGCGTTGCCAGCCCGACCCGGCCTGTTCCTGCTCCCCGCACCAAGCCTACGGTGCGCGTCGCCAGCCCGGCCCGGCCTGTTCCTGCTCCCCGCACCAAGCTAATGGTGCGCGTCGCCAGCCCGGCCCGGCCTGTTCCTGCCCCTCGCACCAAGACTACGGTGCGCGTCGCCAGCCCGGCCCGGCCTGTTCCTGCTCCCCGCACCAAGCTAATGGTGCGCGTCGCCAGCCCGGCCAGGCCTGTTCCTGCCCCTCGCACCAAGCCTACGGTGCGCGTCGCCAGCCCGGCCCGGCCTGTTCCTGCTCCCCGCACCAAGCTAATGGTGCGCGTCGCCAGCCCGGCCCGGCCTGTTCCTGCCCCTCGCACCAAGCCTACGGTGCGCGTCGCCAGCCCGGCCCGGCCTGTTCCTGCTCCCCGCACCAAGCTAATGGTGCGCGTCGCCAGCCCGGCCCGGCCTGTTCCTGCCCCTCGCACCAAGACTACGGTGCGCGTCGCCAGCCCGGCCCGGCCTGTTCCTGCTCCCCGCACCAAGCCAGGGGTGCGCATCGTAAGCCCGGTCCGGCCCGTTCCTGCTCCACGCACCAAGCCAGGGGTGCGCATCGTCAGCCCGGTACGGCCCGTTCCTGCTCCACGCACCAAGCCAGGGGTGCGCATCGTCAGCCCGGTAGGGCCCGTTCCTGCTCCACGCACCAAGCCAGGGGTGCGCATCGTCAGCCCGGTACGGCCCGTTCCTGCTCCCCGCACCAAGCCAGGGGTGCGCATCGTCAGCCCGGTCCGGCCCGTTGCTGCTCCACGCACCAAGCCAGGGGCGCGCATCGTCAGCCCGGTCCGGCCCGTTCCTGCTCCACGCACCAAGCCAGGGGTGTGCGTCGTCAGCCCGGTCCGGCCCGTTCCTGCTCCACGCACCAAACCAGGGGTGCGCGTCGTCAGTCCGGCACAACCCGTGCCTGGGTCACCGGTGCCTGGTCAGGTACCGGTCAGCTGCTCCACACCGGAGCCTAAGCAATCCGCTCCTACGATGTCCAGTCCAGCTCCAGCCAGCGGGGCCAGACCGGACCAGGGGCGCTACGGGGGGATTGTTGGAGGGTGGTGGTCAAGCCCGGAGCCGGAACCGCCTCCGAGGAGGAATGCCCACCCAGCCCTCCCCTGTTTGGTTTATGTTTAGGCGCGGTCGCAGTCCGCTCTGGGGACTCTATATGTTGAGCCAGGGTGTGTAGATTCTATGTGTTTGTGTTCTGTGTTGTAGATTCTAGTTGTTGTATTTCTATGTTGGCCAGAGTGGTTCTCAATCAGAGGCAACAAGTGTCAGCTGTTGCTGGTTGTCTCTGATTGGGAACCACATTTAGACAGGTTGTTTTCCCACAGTAGTTGTGGGATCTTGTTCCGTGTTGGTTGTGTTAGACCTAGGACGTCACGTTATCGTTTGTTGTTTAGTTTTTTGTGTGCACTTAATAAAATAAGTATGTACGAATATCACGCTGCGCCTTGGTCCTCCTCCTTCGACGATCGTGACACACACCTGTGCGTCAAGGTTGGGATGGTGTTCTTCGGCTTGCAATCCCCCCCCCCCACCGCCTTTTTCCTCCAAACATAACGATGGTCATTAATGCCAAACAGTTCTATTTTTGTTTCATCAGACCAGAGGACATTTCTCCAAAAAGTATGATCTTTGTACCCATGTGCAGTTGCAAACCGTAGTTTGGCTTTTTTATGGCGGTTTTGGAGCAGTGGCTTCTTCCTTGCTGAGTGGCCTTTCAGGTTATGTCGATATAGGACTCATTTTACTGTGGATATAGATACTTTTGTACCTGTTTCCTCCAGCATCTTCACAAGGTCCTTTGCTGTTGTTCTGGGATTGATTTGCACTTTTCGCACCAAAGTACGTTCATCTCTAGGAGACAGAACACGTCTCCTTCCTGAGCGGTATGATGGCTGCTTGGTCCCATGGTGTTTATACTTGCATACTATTGTTTGTACAGATGAACTCAGTACCTTCAGGCGTTTGGAAATTGCTCCGAAGGATGTACCAGACTTGTGGAGGTCTACAATTTTTCCTCAGAGGTTTTGGCTGATTTCTTTTGATTTCCCATGATGTCAAGCAAAGAGGCACTGAGTTTGAAGGTAGGCCTTGAAATACATCCACAGGTACACCTCCAATTGACTCAAATGATGTAAATTAGCCTATCAGAAGCTTCTAAAGCCATTACATCATTTTCTGGAATTTTCCAAGCTGTTTAAAGGCACAGTCAACTTAGTGTATGTAAACTTCTGACCCACTGGAATTGTGATACAGTGAATTATAAGTGAAATAATCTGTCTGTAAACAATTGTTGGAAAAATTACTTGTGTCATGCACAAAGTAGATGTCCTAACTGACTTGCCAAAACTATAGTTTGTTAACAAGAAATTTGTGGAGTGGTTGAAAAACAAGTTTTAATGACTCCAACCTAAGTGTATGTAAACTTCTGACTTCAACTGTACATTCCAATATTCATCTACTTGTATTTTCAAAGGAATATTGTTTAAATACATGAATGGTCTAATAACAAACCCAGGTCTGTTATTTTGTAATTGACAGGCCGGTGAAAAGAAAAGCTCGACCACTTCTCATTGAGCATGAGCTGTCATTTCAGCAACCATTCCCAGTCACATTTAGGATGCAGGCGCTCTCTATGGATATATTTCTTATTTTATCAATTAGTTAGTGCATTTTGTCCAGTTATCTAGTATCTGAATTTTGCTGCATCAGGCTATTTCTGTCTTTCTTTCGTCTTCTTTCATCTGTGGAAACAAATGGAATAATCTATTACACCATCCAGGTCGACATCCATTCCTATTAACATCCTTGTATTCTGTCTTCAATCAATCTCTAAGAAAGTGACGGTTTCACGTCAAACAAATTTGTAAAAAATGATGTTCCAGATCTGGGGGTTTAACGTCTCTCTCAGCAGCTAAACTACCAGTTAACAGCAACGCTAACATTCATTTCCAATCTTTTCTTGTGATTGAGTCTATCATACAATTATAAACTGGTATAGTTTAATGCAGGACTAAACATTTCCCATGCGCGTTCTCTATGGGTCCCCCACCGAAGAAAACAGATTATTAACCTAGTTAATATATCTCTGTGAATGTTCCCTTAAAACCCATTTTGGCTAGGCCTAGGAATATTTATAAGCAATTACCTCTTTATACATTTTGTTCATCGATCTCGTGCGAAAGAAAACATAGTGTGAGGACAGACGCTGGGAGACGTGAAGCAAGTATAGGGAGTGAACATTTAATGGAAAAAACAGACAGGAACAAAACACGGACCGCGTCTGGACAGGGGAAACGAAACAATATCAATGCTGACAGGGGATCAAACAGAGGATCAGCAGATATAGGGGAGGTAATGAACAAAGGGAAGGAGTCCAGGTGAGTCCAATGAGCGCTGATGCACGTAACGATGGTGACAGGTGTGCGTAATGATGGGCAGCCTGGCGCCCTCGAGCGCCAGGAAGGGGGAGCGGGAGCAGGCGTGACACATAGACCCCAATGAACTGTCAAAAAACAGTTGAAAGTTCTGTCCTTTCAGCACCAATATGAGTCACATTGAGAACCCAGGCATTCATTATGAGTGATTTGAAATGATTTTACCAGGAAACGAATCTAAAACTGAATACGTGAAGAAACGTGCATATGATCGATTGTTTATTGGTTTTCACTTATAAACAAACACAAAACACAAGAGACCAAATATTTGACTCAAATGAAGGACCCTTTCGATGTCAATGGTCGACGGGCGCAGTGTGACTAATGGTTGGGGTTAGGATTTAGGGAGGCTAAATGTATTTTAGCAGGTGGATGAAGTAGCACCATGAAACTGCTCTAAGATCAGTTCAGCATTTTCAGCCTCTAATGGAGAACATCAACCTGCTGGACCTGTAAACGGATCCTAGATCTGTACTACCCACCTGCAACATTGTGGGGAGGAGCCACTGGTATCCACTCAGGGAGAACAGGTGGTTGAAGTGGACGGCCGTATTAATGGCAGTAGCCGTGTATTGCCTGAGGAGGGCGCTGTCCTCGGGGTGTAGCAGCAGGGCGCCGTTGAACACGTTCAGGAAGAGCATGATCTCATCCCCCCACGGGTACTCACTGGGCATGCCCAGAAACATCTCTTCTAGTAGTTTGATCCACAGGACTTTGTGGAGAGTGTCCAGGCCGAAGAGCTCCTTGCCTGGGGAGAGGAGGGCACAATATGTGGCTAACTCAGTCCCTTTGCACTGAATACTTTTTGAAACATCTAGCGTTTATGCTTTCCAAGTGTTTGTAGACTTTTGTTTTGTGATCTGTGTTGTCTACTTTGAAGATGCACCACAGATACACAATGTAGTACAGTACTTTACTGCAGTACATCTTCATTTTAAAATGCAACTAATCTCCAGGGTTGGGGTCAATTCCATTTCAATTCCAGTCAATTCAGAAAGTAAACCAAATTCCAATTCCAAGTTGTCGTCATTGAAAAGCATTGAAGAGAATTGGAATTGGAATTTCGATGTACTTCCTGAATTGACCGGAATTAAAATGGAATTGCCCCCAAACCTGATAATCTCTCTTTATTGTCTTGTTTGTTCATTCAGGTACCATTCAAGATAGCGTCCACTCCAGTCTTACCCTGTGGCTCGCTGAAGAGAGAGAACTCTCCGTCAATGGCCGTGCGGGGGAAGGAGGGCAGGCGGAGCAGGTCCTCTTGGAGCATGGACACATGGGACTGTTTGTGGATGGCTGGCATGTTCTGGGTTAGGGAGATAAGGAATAGAACACGGCCCACCTCCTCCAGTTTACGGGAAAACACCTGGGGAGAGAGGGGAGGGGAGGGGAGAGAGAGGGAGAGAGGGGAGGGGAGAGGGAGGGGAGGGGAGGGGAGAGAGAGGGGAGGAGAGGAGGAGGGAGAGGGGGGGAGGGGAGGGGAGAGGGAGGGAGAGGGAGAGAGGGTAGGGGAGGGGAGGGGAGGGGAGAGAGAGGGAGAGAGGGAGAGAGGGGAGGGGAGGGAGGGGAGAGAGAGGGAGAGAGGGGAGAGAGGGAGAGAGGGGAGGGGAGAGGGAGAGAGGGAGAGAGGGAGAGAGAGGGAGAGAGGGAGAGAGGGGAGAGAGGGAGAGAGGGGAGGGAGCGAGAGAGCGATATGAGGGGGAGACACTGAGTATGCACAAGAGGCTGAGACAGGCACCAGTAAAGATATGGACAGACAAACAGAAGGTTCTCTTGCTTGGTCACAGTTCTCAAAATGTTAAAGCCACAGTTGTGATATTTTCAGTCATTTATACTGTATGTCCTCTTTGGTGTAGTGCACACATTGCAAAGTGTGGCTTTAACTGTGAGTTTTGAACCTGAAACACAACGCACTACTAACACACACAATCACATGCTGTACCTGTTTCTGAATGAGTTCCTGTCCTTTCTCTGGCAGCATGTGGACCAGGTTGAGCTGGGGAGACACAGACCTCCTGAACGGATAGATATCCCTCACAAAGGTCTAAAGGAGAGACAGACAGACATCACATTATGTAGTCGCTGACGGAGAAGACACTCTCATGGTCATTCTAGACATCTCCACATAATGTCACAGTTCATAACACTGCTTGAAAACGGATGGGAAGTCCAACCTTGGAATAGTGAATGAGGTTCCAGCGCTTGTCCATGAGGAAGTAGTGCGCAGACCGAGACTCAGGAATGTTGAAGAACTCCAGACACTCCTGTCAGGGAAGAGAAAGAGGTCAAAGCATTGGGGATGGCTTCAGTGTATCCCTAAGAAGGTTCATTCTGTCATGATCTGTAGAATGCAGATCAACTCTATAATGAGAACTTACCTTGAGCAAGGCTTCAAACTGAGTGTCCTCGTGTACAGGCAACTGGGTAGGAATATCACACTCATTCTGCCCATGGACTACAAGGGTCTTGGTTCCTACAAGGACATACATGATTTACTGTATTACCCACATGTAACAGTCAACATTATACTATGGGACACAGTCAAATGACAGGGCTCCCATGGGCATCCAGTGACCTTTACCTGGCATGGATGCAGTGACCAGCAGCTTGACCTCACACTGCTCCTTCTTCATGGTCTGTTTGAGGTCCTTGAAGAAGAGCCCCTCCACGTATCCCACCACCTCCCACAGGAAGGTCAGAGTGGCCGAGATGGCATCCATACCCCACTCACACGGGGTACGCACAAAGTACATAATCAGCCCCACCTGGGAGTGAGGGAGGGCGGAGGGGGGGAGAGAGACAGACAGACAGACAGACAAACAGGCAAATGGGGTACAGACAGAAAGAGAGACAGAGAGAGAGAGAGAACAGACAGACAGACAGACAGAGAGAGAGAGAGAGAGAGAGAGAGAGAGAGAGAGAGAGAGAACAGACAGACAAAAAAGAAGGAAGAAGACAAGAGATAGATGGAGAGATGAGAGACAGACAGACAGAACAGAGCAGAGAACAGGAGAGAGACAGAGACACAGACATACAGACAGGAAACGAGAAGAGAGACGACAGACAGACGAAGACAGACCAGAGACAGACCGACAGAGAGAGAGACAGAAACAGACAGAGACAGACAGACACAGACAGACAGACAGACAGACAGACAGACAGACAGAGAAGTAGAGGGGGAAGAGAGAGATCTTCATTAATCTTGTCATCAGATTGATCAAAACTGCTACTGTCTGATAAACATTGACTGATGTCTTGTCTCACCAGGTAGTTGAAGAGGATGTGAGAGGTCTGGGCCGGGAGGTCACCGATGTTCATCAACAGCTTCCTCAGCATGTACATCAGCTCATCCTGATACACATAGAAACGTGTCAATTCAAACTCAACGGAAAAACACATTAACAACATGAGGGGTTGTGTTCAATGGGGGAAAAAGCAGGTACGATCACGGTCATCCTTAAACAACCTTAAACCAATACATGAAGAAGGTGATACAAACCGAAACGTCTGTGTACAACTTTTCCCCTGCCTGCTGTAAAAAGCATGAAAAAAAAAACATGAAAAAAGAAAAAGGAACTTTTAGAGTTCTGTCTCATAAAACATTTTTGTGTCAGAACCACCCGTAATTTTTTGTATTCAGTATAGAGAAAATGTTTTGAAATGTTTTGAAACAGGGAGGTAGTCTACTAACAACAGATTTTGTCCATAACAACATTGATTTTTGTTTTCTGTTGCAAAGTGTTTTACAACATGTACCCTACTGAAGAGGGCCCAGCTGTGATCCAATCTGAAGGCAGGATTCTATTGGTCCTATCATATGAGACTGAAATTAGTATTTTGATGGACGAAGGCTCCTCTACCTGTCGATTGCTAACGGTCAGCTTCTCCAGGAAGTGCCTGAGCACCAGGGCGGGATCTTCGATCAGACAGTTCCACAGGATCTGCTGGGCCACTGCACTCACTGGAGGATCATGGGAAATGGGTCATAGAAGAAGGATCATGAGTTTTATCAGGACAGACTGAAACATTGCTTTTCTATTTTATTCAACAGCGTGTATTGTGTTGAAAGGCAATATGTGTTGTGTTACAGTGGATTCTAGAGTGGCCTTATGGGTATCTACGGAATGTATCTACAGGTTTCTGATCTCAGCCTGTACACAATGTATCTACAGGTTTCTGATCTCACCCTGTACACAATGTATCTACAAGTTACTGATCTCACCCTGTATAGAATGTATCTACAGGTTTCTGATCTCACCCTGAACAGAATGTATCTACAGGTTTCTGATCTCACCCTGTACACAATGTATCTACAGGTTTCTGATCTCACCCTGTACACAATGTATCTACAGGTTTCTGATCTCAGCCTGTACACAATGTATCTACAGGTTTCCGATCTCACCCTGTACACAATGTATCTACAGGTTACTGATCTCACCCTGTCCAGAATGTATCTACAGGTTTCTGATCTCACCCTGAACAGAATGTATCTACAGGTTTCTGATCTCACCCTGTACACAATGTATCTACAGGTTTCTGATCTCACCCTGTACACAATGTATCTACAGGTTTCTGATCTCACCCTGTACACAATGTATCTACAGGTTTCTGATCTCACCCAGTACACAATGTATCTACAGGTTTCTGATCTCACCCTGTACACAATGTATCTACAGGTTACTGATCTCACCCTGTACAGAATGTATCTACAGGTTTCTGATCTCACCCTGTACACAATGTATCTACAGGTTACTGATCTCACCCTGTACAGAATGTATCTACAGGTTTCTGATCTCACCCTGAACAGAATGTATCTACAGGTTTCTGATCTCACCCTGTACACAATGTATCTACAGGTTACTAATCTCACCCTGTACAGAATGTATCTACAGGTTTCTGATCTCACCCTGAACAGAATGTATCTACAGGTTTCTGATCTCACCCTGTACACAATGTATCTACAGGTTACTGATCTCACCCTGTACAGAATGTATCTACAGGTTTCTGATCTCACCCTGAACAGAATGTATCTACAGGTTTCTGATCTCACCCTGTACACAATGTATCTACAGGTTTCTGATCTCACCCTGTACACAATGTATCTACAGGTTTCTGATCTCACCCTGTACACAATGTATCTACAGGTTTCTGATCTCACCCTGTACAGAATGTATCTACAGGTTTCTGATCTCACCCTGTACACAATGTATCTACAGGTTTCTGATCTCACCCTGTACACAATGTATCTACAGGTTACTAATCTCACCCTGTACAGAATGTATCTACAGGTTTCTGATCTCACCCTGAACAGAATGTACTACAGGTTTCCTGATCTCACCCTGTACACAATGTATCTACAGGTTACTGATCTCACCCTGTACAGAAGTATCTACAGGTTTTCTGATCTCACCCTGTCCACAAATGTTATTCTACAGGTTTCTGATCTCACCCTGTACACAATGTATTACAGGTTTCTGATCTCACCCTGTACACAATGTATCTACAGTTCTGATCTCACCTGTACACAATGTATCTAACAGGTTTCTGATCTCACCCTGTACCAGAATGTATCTACAGGTTTCTGGATCTCACCCTGTACACAATGTATCTACAGGTTTCTGATCTCACCCTGTACACAATGTATCTCAGTTTTCTGATCTCACCCTGTACACAATGTATCTACAGGTTTCTGATCTCACCCTGTACCACAATTGTATCTACAGGTTTCTGATCTCACCCTGTACACAATGTATCTACAGGTTTCTGATCTCACCCTGTACACAATGTATCTACAGGTTTCTGATCTCACCCTGTACACAATGTATCTACAGGTTTCTGATCTCACCCTGTACACAATGTATCTACAGGTTTCTGATCTCACCCTGTACACAATGTATCTACAGGTTTCTGATCTCACCCTGTACACAATGTATCTACAGGTTTCTGATCTCACCCTGTACACAATGTATCTACAGGTTTCTGATCTCACCCTGTACACAATGTATCTACAGGTTTCTGATCTCACCCTGTACACAATGTATCTACAGGTTTCTGATCTCACCCTGTACACAATGTATCTACAGGTTTCTGATCTCACCCTGTACACAATGTATCTACAGGTTTCTGATCTCACCCTGTACACAATGTATCTACAGGTTTCTGATCTCACCCTGTACACAATGTATCTACAGGTTTCTGATCTCACCCTGTACACAATGTATCTACAGGTTTCTGATCTCACCCTGTACAGAATGTATCTACAGGTTTCTGATCTCACCCTGTACACAATGTATCTACAGGTTTCTGATCTCACCCTGTACACAATGTATCTACAGGTTTCTGATCTCACCCTGTACACAATGTATCTACAGGTTTCTGATCTCACCCTGTACAGAATGTATCTACAGGTTTCTGATCTCACCCTGTACACAATGTCTCTACAGGTTTCTGATCTCACCCTGTACCCAAAGTATCTACAGGTTTCTGATCTCACCCTGTACCCAATGTATCTAAAGGTTTCTGATCTCACCCTGTACACAATGTATCTACAGGTTTCTGATCTCACCCTGTACACAATGTATCTACATGTTTCTGATCTCCCCCTGTGCACAATGTATCTACAGGTTTCTGATCTCACCCTGTACAGAATGTATCTACAGGTTTCTGATCTCACCCTGTACACAACGTATCTACAGGTTTCTGATCTCACCCTGTACACAATGTATCTACAGGTTACTGATCTCACCCTGTACACAATGTATCTACAGGTTTCTGATCTCACCCTGTACAGAATGTATCTACAGGTTTCTGATCTCACCCTGTACACAATGTATCTACAGGTTACTGATCTCACCCTGTACACAATGTATCTACAGGTTACTGATCTCACCCTGTACACAATGTATCTACAGGTTACTGATCTCACCCTGTACAGAATGTATCTACAGGTTTCTGATCTCACCCTGTACACAATGTATCTACAGGTTACTGATCTCACCCTGTACAGAATGTATCTACAGGTTTCTGATCTCACCCTGTACAGAATGTATCTACAGGTTTCTGATCTCACCCTGTACACAATGTATCTACAGGTTACTGATCTCACCCTGTACAGAATGTATCTACAGGTTACTGATCTCACCCTGTACAGAATGTATCTACAGGTTACTGATCTCACCCTGTACAGAATGTATCTACAGGTTACTGATCTCACCCTGTACACAATGTATCTACAGGTTTCTGATCTCACCCTGTACACAATGTATCTACAGGTTTCTGATCTCACCCTGTACACAATGTATCTACAGGTTTCTGATCTCCCCCTGTGCACAATGTATCTACAGGTTTCTGATCTCACCCTGTACAGAATGTATCTACATGTTTCTGATCTCACCCTGTACACAATGTATCTACAGGTTTCTGATCTCACCCTGTACACAATGTATCTACAGGTTACTGATCTCACCCTGTACACAATGTATCTACAGGTTTCTGATCTCACCCTGTACACAATGTATCTACAGGTTTCTGATCTCACCCTGTACACAATGTATCTACAGGTTTCTGATCTCACCCTGTACACAATGTATCTACAGGTTACTGATCTCACCCTGTACACAATGTATCTACAGGTTACTGATCTCACCCTGTACACAATGTATCTACAGGTTACTGATCTCACCCTGTACAGAATGTATCTACAGGTTACTGATCTCACCCTGTATAGAATGTATCTACAGGTTTCTGATCTCACCCTGAACAGAATGTATCTACAGGTTTCTGATCTCACCCTGTACACAATGTATCTACAGGTTTCTGATCTCACCCTGTACACAATGTATCTACAGGTTTCTGATCTCAGCCTGTACACAATGTATCTACAGGTTTCCGATCTCACCCTGTACACAATGTATCTACAGGTTACTGATCTCACCCTGTACAGAATGTATCTACAGGTTTCTGATCTCACCCTGAACAGAATGTATCTACAGGTTTCTGATCTCACCCTGTACACAATGTATCTACAGGTTTCTGATCTCACCCTGTACACAATGTATCTACAGGTTTCTGATCTCACCCTGTACACAATGTATCTACAGGTTTCTGATCTCACCCAGTACACAATGTATCTACAGGTTTCTGATCTCACCCTGTACACAATGTATCTACAGGTTACTGATCTCACCCTGTACAGAATGTATCTACAGGTTTCTGATCTCACCCTGTACACAATGTATCTACAGGTTACTGATCTCACCCTGTACAGAATGTATCTACAGGTTTCTGATCTCACCCTGAACAGAATGTATCTACAGGTTTCTGATCTCACCCTGTACACAATGTATCTACAGGTTACTAATCTCACCCTGTACAGAATGTATCTACAGGTTTCTGATCTCACCCTGAACAGAATGTATCTACAGGTTTCTGATCTCACCCTGTACACAATGTATCTACAGGTTACTGATCTCACCCTGTACAGAATGTATCTACAGGTTTCTGATCTCACCCTGAACAGAATGTATCTACAGGTTTCTGATCTCACCCTGTACACAATGTATCTACAGGTTTCTGATCTCACCCTGTACACAATGTATCTACAGGTTTCTGATCTCACCCTGTACACAATGTATCTACAGGTTTCTGATCTCACCCTGTACAGAATGTATCTACAGGTTTCTGATCTCACCCTGTACAGAATGTATCTACAGGTTTCTGATCTCACCCTGTACGCAATGTATCTACAGGTTTCTGATCTCACCCTGTACACAATGTATCTACAGGTTTCTGATCTCACCCTGTACACAATGTATCTACAGGTTTCTGATCTCACCCTGTACAAATGTATCTACAGGTTTCTGATCTCACCCTGTACACAATGTATCTACAGGTTTCTGATCTCACCCTGTACACAATGTATCTACAGGTTTCTGATCTCACCCTGTACACAATGTATCTACAGGTTTCTGATCTCACCCTGTACACAATGTATCTACAGGTTTCTGATCTCACCCTGTACACAATGTATCTACAGGTTTCTGATCTCACCCTGTACACAATGTATCTACAGGTTTCTGATCTCACCCTGTACACAATGTATCTACAGGTTTCTGATCTCACCCTGTACAGAATGTATCTACAGGTTTCTGATCTACCCTGTACACAATGTATCTACAGGTTTCTGATCTCACCCTGTACACAATGTATCTACAGGTTTCTGATCTCACCCTGTACACAATGTATCTACAGGTTTCTGATCTCACCCTGTACACAATGTATCTACAGGTTTCTGATCTCACCCTGTACAGAATGTATCTACAGGTTTCTGATCTCACCCTGTACACAATGTATCTACAGGTTTCTGATCTCACCCTGTACACAATGTATCTACAGGTTTCTGATCTCACCCTGTACACAATGTATCTACAGGTTTCTGATCTCACCCTGTACAGAATGTATCTACAGGTTTCTGATCTCACCCTGTACACAATGTCTCTACAGGTTTCTGATCTCACCCTGTACCCAAAGTATCTACAGGTTTCTGATCTCACCCTGTACCCAATGTATCTACAGGTTTCTGATCTCACCCTGTACACAATGTATCTACAGGTTTCTGATCTCACCCTGTACACAATGTATCTACAGGTTTCTGATCTCCCCCTGTGCACAATGTATCTACAGGTTTCTGATCTCACCCTGTACAGAATGTATCTACAGGTTTCTGATCTCACCCTGTACACAATGTATCTACAGGTTTCTGATCTCACCCTGTACACAATGTATCTACAGGTTACTGATCTCACCCTGTACACAATGTATCTACAGGTTTCTGATCTCACCCTGTACAGAATGTATCTACAGGTTTCTGATCTCACCCTGTACACAATGTATCTACAGGTTACTGATCTCACCCTGTACACAATGTATCTACAGGTTACTGATCTCACCCTGTACACAATGTATCTACAGGTTACTGATCTCACCCTGTACAGAATGTATCTACAGGTTTCTGATCTCACCCTGTACACAATGTATCTACAGGTTACTGATCTCACCCTGTACAGAATGTATCTACAGGTTTCTGATCTCACCCTGTACAGAATGTATCTACAGGTTTCTGATCTCACCCTGTACACAATGTATCTACAGGTTACTGATCTCACCCTGTACAGAATGTATCTACAGGTTACTGATCTCACCCTGTACAGAATGTATCTACAGGTTACTGATCTCACCCTGTACAGAATGTATCTACAGGTTACTGATCTCACCCTGTACACAATGTATCTACAGGTTTCTGATCTCACCCTGTACACAATGTATCTACAGGTTTCTGATCTCACCCTGTACACAATGTATCTACAGGTTTCTGATCTCACCCTGTACACAATGTATCTACAGGTTTCTGATCTCCCCCTGTGCACAATGTATCTACAGGTTTCTGATCTCACCCTGTACAGAATGTATCTACATGTTTCTGATCTCACCCTGTACACAATGTATCTACAGGTTTCTGATCTCACCCTGTACACAATGTATCTACAGGTTACTGATCTCACCCTGTACACAATGTATCTACAGGTTTCTGATCTCACCCTGTACACAATGTATCTACAGGTTTCTGATCTCACCCTGTACACAATGTATCTACAGGTTTCTGATCTCACCCTGTACACAATGTATCTACAGGTTACTGATCTCACCCTGTACACAATGTATCTACAGGTTACTGATCTCACCCTGTACACAATGTATCTACAGGTTACTGATCTCACCCTGTACAGAATGTATCTACAGGTTTCTGATCTCACCCTGTACACAATGTATCTACAGGTTACTGATCTCACCCTGTACAGAATGTATCTACAGGTTACTGATCTCACCCTGTACAGAATGTATCTACAGGTTTCTGATCTCACCCTGTACACAATGTATATACAGGTTACTGATCTCACCCTGTCCAGAATGTATCTACAGGTTACTGATCTCACCCTGTACAGAATGTATCTACAGGTTACTGATCTCACCCTGTACAGAATGTATCTACAGGTTACTGATCTCACCCTGTACAGAATGTATCTACAGGTTACTGATCTCACCCTGTACACAATGTATCTACAGGTTACTGATCTCACCCTGTACACAATGTATCTACAGGTTACTGATCTCACCCTGTACAGAATGTATCTACAGGTTACTGATCTCACCCTGTACAGAATGTATCTACAGGTTACTGATCTCACCCTGTACAGAATGTATCTACAGGTTACTGATCTCACCCTGTACAGAATGTATCTACAGGATACTGATCTCACCCTGTACACAATGTATCTACAGGTTACTGATCTCACCCTGTACACAATGTATCTACAGGTTACTGATCTCACCCTGAACAGAATGTATCTACAGGTTTCTGATCTCACCCTGTACAGAATGTATCTACAGGTTTCTGATCTCACCCTGTACAGAATGTATCTACAGGTTTCTGATCTCACCCTGTACAGAATGTATCTACAGGTTACTGATCTCACCCTGAACAGAATGTATCTACAGGTTACTGATCTCACCCTGAACAGAATGTATTCTATTCTCATCCTCTACCCCTCCCTCCCTCCCTCCCTCCCTCTAGTACAGTACATGACAGGTTGTGTTGCGCGATGCCACCCACCTGCCACGCCGTCCTCTCGCACCTCCCCATCCTCCATCAGGTGCACTATGGGTAAGACGGCAGCACAGATGCATGCTGGGAAGACGGCCTGGGGGGGCTGCAGCATGTGATGAGTGGGTGTGTGCTCCGTAGTGTTCTCCTCATCTAGTAGACAAGAACAACCCATGAGTCACTACCACCTTATTCTACTGCAGTTAGGAAGGTGAAGGTTACCATATGTACAAGCTCTGTCAAGGCATGATTTTATCATCTCGCTTTTATCAGATATTATTAGGTGAGGAATTTTCTTTTTCCATTCCTCACCATGTGACTTGAATCTGACCAGGATTAAAAATACAAAAAAACAGGCTGTTCCGATATCTACAGTATACTAACATGCCACTTAGAATGAAGCAATGTACTAGCCATGCATTCTATGTGGGATCCTAGTATGGACACTGGGACATGACCCCTACAAGCGAGTGGGCGGTGAGTGGTTGCCACGGTAACGCAGTCTTACCCTCGGTGCTGACCACGGAGCGGACTGACCACACGGAGCCGCGGCGGAAGGAGTAGTTCCTGTGAGAGTTACTGGAGGTGCAGGACGGAGTGACGGACATGCGGCGGGACGCCAGGTTGACCACTTCTTCTGCTGGCGGGGAGGAGAGGGTTCAGAGTCAGTCGCAACATGAAACTACCAGTGGCTGGCTGACTGACTGCATTATTCAAGGTGTATTACACCATTAGTCAAGGTGTATTGCAACTAAGCACTGTAGTTGTGGACTCGATGGTAGTGTTGTTATCTGGGGTGTAGGCAACAGTAGAGGTTCAGCTAACTTGTCGTTTTTGTCATTTTTGAAGAGGGGTAAAGCCCCCTCAGAAAACCTAAATACATAGGTTCTAGGTTTATTCTTAGATGTTCAGTTCAGTTAGTGCTTCTCCAAAATACATCAGAATCAGTGGTTTCCTGAATGGGACAGGGGCTTTATCACTTGCATTAACACCTAAAATGAATAACAAATGAAAAAAGAGAGATGTCTCCAGCGCTCCATGTCCGTCCCACCCACCTTCCTCCTCCTGCTCGGGCGGGGGGCTGCAGGTGGGTTCGTAGCAGGCCTCCTGGGCCACGGGGATGGCTGTGATGATGCTGGCCTCGCGCCCAAGACGCCGCTTCTCCTCCTCCTGCTGCAGGTTCTTCAGGATGTGCTCGGCACGCTGGTGGGAGCGCGACACGGCCCGCGCCGAGAAGGATTTCTGTAAGAGGTGGTGTGTGTGTGTGTGTGTGTGTGTGTGTGTGTGTGTGTGTGTGTGTGTGTGTGTGTGTGGAAAGGCGTGTGGGTGTGTGTGGAGGAGTGGAGTGCGCATGTGGGATAGGCGTGGGGTGAGGTGGTGTGTGTGTGTGTGTGTGTGTGTGTGTGTGTGTGTTGGCCGTGTGTATGGGGTGGGAGATATAACACATAGAGGCTCAGGGAAGGGGACTGTGGGATAGGTTCATTCTCAGGGGGTCCTGTATGTAGTACAATTACAATAATGGCGTCCGGTGAACATTTGGTAATGTCAACTATTTGTCTCTTCCTGACAGTTATATATGGATGACACATGCCGTTATATTCTCTGGATACGACTGGAAACATTGACAGATTAGGGTTGTAAAATACGGTAACTTTCCCAAATTGTAAATATCCGGAATCATGAGGGAAAAAGCCGGAATCATGGGAATTTTGGGAAAGTTAACTACATTTTGCAACCCTATATCAACTACACCATGCTCAGGTATCAATTATTTACTATTGTAAATAGTTGTCAGTGAAACGTACTATATGCAAACGTATTTTGACTCACAAGAGAATCCATCAGGAGAGTATATCCAGTGCAAAAGCTCATTTGAACATTCTTACCGGCACCAACAGAGATATTACAGTGGATGTTTGACAGAGTGACGTGAAAATGTTGACGTTTGAACAATTACAAAATGGCCGTCATTAGCCATGCATTGTATATCCATGCAAAATGACCAATGCATGCAGCTTTCCCAAAAGAAGGCCGGACATTACAGTACATAAAACGTGGAGTGGCTTGTATAAGATGCATGTATCCAGAATGGCCCGTATGAGGTCCCCTAGTATAGCACCTCCCCCTAGGTCTTAATGTTTGGGGAGAGTCAGACAACCCAGCAGGCAAAACTGGTTGCAATGACGTCGTTATGACGTCTTTCAATGACGTCATGCATGGTCCGGTTGTATACTGGTTGTATAATGGACATTGTGTTGAACTCTTATTTGCAACCAGAAAAATACATCTTTATCTGGTTGGAATCAGGTTATCTGACCAGATATCAATCAAAATATAACGTCTTTCTGAGGATGCATTCATTTCGTCATGAAAAATATGTTTTTACCTGGTTGTAACAGAGACCAGTTGGTTGTAATCTCGTTATCTGACGTCTTCTCAACCAGTTTACAATGAGAACATGACATTATTAAGACCCCATGTGCCAAACTTTTGCCCGCTGGGAATGGACAGATATCGCTCTGAATTTTGTCTCATTCAGTCATCAAAGATGAACTCAGTTTCCCATGATGCACCCAAACAAGCATCCGTACATAAATAACAACTTACTATGGAATAGACTGATTGAATAAATGTGGGGAACTAAAAACAAAGACAGTTGATAGATAGATAAATAACAGACAGGACTATTGTACTCCAGACAGTACAATGACCAGTCTAGAGCTGATCTAGTATCAAATGACAAGTGATCTGAATACATCGTTTTGGGGTTTTCATGCTAGACAAAAAAAAAAGCATAGCAACACCAAGAAATGAAGCCAGAAAGTGTCATGGCCGACTATCAATTTAGTAGCATAATATTGTACTGTTTGTGAACTTTGTAAGGAGACTTGTGCTATCAGTCCTCTAAAGCTCATTTCTTGGTGCCATAGCGAACACAGGGAATAAATACACTGGTATAACAGTACAAAGTGTTACTATAACAGTTGTAGCATAATGGGCTAATTAGTAAGGTCAGTAAAAAAGATGCAACTCCACATACCAATTCAATTAATAGTGTTATGTCCATGTAATTCAATATACATGCTAAATTAAAATGGCAGAAACTTTGGATTATAGCAAAAATTGGTCAACCACTAGGCTCATTGTAAATTCTTTAAGTAACTGCCGATTGGACAGTAACCCAGGCAGCAGGGGCGGGACTTACAGAGTTGTCCTCGTTGATTGGGTCTTGGACGCTGCCAGTGTTGGAGGGTACCCAGGGCGGGTCGAACATGGGCACACAGGGCATGCCCAGGATAGGTGAGGGCAGGGTGAAGTTGATGCTGGGCGGAGGGATCTAAAATATGGAGGATTATATAGAGGATTAGTTCATGAGCAAATGATTCAACAAAGCAAGAGACTTAGCAAGAGGCCTAAACTTTAGAGTCAAGATCATTTATGTAAATAATGAAAAGCCACAGGACTTAGAATAGAACCTTGGGGGACACCCGTTGTCAACTCCTCATTTTGACTAACAGTTGTTTTAGTAGAGGCTGCGGTTCTACTGTACCTTGAAGATCTGCTGGGCACCCTCTTCCATGCGTGGCCACACCTGGTAGCGGAAGCGCCACAGCGTGTAGAACTTGAACACAGAGTTGATGCGCTGGCTCACCTCAGCGTGCTGGAACTCAGCCATCATCATCTCCGTCACCGCGTCGGGCACCTTCACCGCACACAGCAAGAACATGGCAGCTGGGGAGGGGGGAGAGGAGGGGGGGTTAGAGAGAGAGGGATAAAGGGAGGCAGGGTGAGAGAGAAGGGGGGATGGACAGAGAGAGAGGGCGAAAGAGAGGGAGAAAGAGAGATATAGAGAGAGAGTAGAGAGACAGAAAGATGGTGGGACAAAAAAAGATACTACATTTTAAACTCTATTCCTATTCTAAAAAGTGAGCGCAACTTCAGAGTTTGGAGTGGAGCCCAGAATATCTCACCAGAATAGACTTGGAATAACTTGTAGCTCTAGTCTACAGACATTAAAGGGGACTTTTTAGAACAGAAACCCTGCTATCCATGACAGTCACCCACAGTTCTCTGTAGTCACCTGCAGCGGCAGCCATATGCTCGTCCACACTCAGCAGGAGCTCCCAGGCTGCAGGCTGGACGTCCGCGTACATGTCCTCTGTCAGGATGGGCGCCGCCTTGATCAGCAGTGACAGAGGAGCCGGGGACAGGCTCATCACCTGAGGGGAGAGGTCACAGCAAGCAAGGGTTAGCATTAGCATGCTAGTGGAGATCTGACAGCATTGCTAGTGTGGGCATATAGCTTGTATAGCATGCTAGGGACAGAGGGGGCAGGGACAGGCTCATCACCTGAAGGGAAAGGCCATAGACCACAGACAGCCAGGGTTAGCATTAGCATGCTAGTGGAGATACCATTGCTGCTGTAGGCCTATAGCTTGTATTAGTATGATATTGCACGGTACTGCAATATATTTGAGTGGGCTGAGAGGGCCGCTAGCTAGTTAGCATGCTACTTCAGTAGTAGAGTTAGAGATTATGTGTTTGAGTGGGCAGAAGCGTGTGGGCGTGGGGTGAGGGCATCTTGGCATGTGGTTGGCATCTTGCTCTAGATAAACAAGCATGTGGCGACACAGTGGCATCTGTTGACACGCTGCTTCAGACAGGCTGACGGACGGACAGACAGGCTGACGGACAGACAGACAGACAGACAGGTTGACGGACAGACAGACAGACAGACAGGCTGACGACCAGACAGACAGACAAGCTGACGGACAGACAGACAGACAGACAGGCTGACGGACGGACAGACAGACAGACAGACAGACGCTCTGGCACATGCTATGGCTATTAGGGCATGCGTTGGCATGAGGGCTGTAGGTGGGCACCTGGTTGCGGATATACTTGAGCATGCCCGTGTCCTTCTTGCCCTCTGTGTTGGAGTCTTTGGGGCGTCTCTTCATGGACGGGGTCCTCAGACATGACTTGTCTGAACACTGGAGACACAAAGAAAGGAAGACACTTTAGTTACAGTATCATCAAACCGCTCCACATCACATCACATCACATCACATCACTTCAATACATTTCAATCCACTCCACTCCACTTCACATCATTTCAATACATTTCAATCCACTCCACTCCACTTCACATCATTTCAATACATTTCAATCCACTCCACTTCACATCACTTCAATACATTTCAATCCACTCCACACTGCACCCACCTCCTTGTTTTTCTTGGACCGGCTACTGATGTTCCCTGCACTGTCTTCTCTCAGGCTGTCCACTGTCTCCCCATAGAGCAGCTTGATGGCGCGCACCAGGCGGGCACAGGAGCGGCTGTGGTGCTGGTAGCAGCGTGGGTGGCAGAACTCCACGTGGGTACAGATGAAACTCTGCTGGTTGCACAGCAGAATCATGATCTACAGAGGAAGATAACAGAGGGAGCAACAGTTAGACTAGACAGGATGAATGGGGTTGATGAGGGAAATGTGCTAGCTTTATAGCATGTGTGGTCAGGTGAATGCATCGCACACACATGCTCTGTACAGTACACAAACGAGTATGCTAAGTTGAATGCACGCATATAGGTACGCACGTACAAGTACGCGCACACACACACACACACACACACACACACGCGCAGCACCTACATGTAGCCAGGACATGTTACTGTGGTAGTTGTCCTCTGCGCCGCCTCCTGAACCCTCAGGCTCAATACTGGGTTCACTGGTGCTCCATGGACTTCCTGTGATGTCACACACACACACACAACGATACTGTATCAGTTTACTTCACAGACTCTCCTTGTGGAAATCCGTTATTTTGCGTCTCCCAAACAAACAAACATAGTTCATCATTGAGTTAACTACCCAAACGGGACAGATGACAATGAATGCTATACATTACATTTTGATATAGAGTTGTTGTCTACGTCTGAATGACAGGTGACTACTATGACTGAGTAGTAGGTCAATAGGGTTCCATAGGGCTCTGGACAAAAGTAGTGCACTATGTCGGGTATAGGGTGCCTACGTCTGTGTATGGGTGGCAGTAGAAGTTGTCATCAGATCTTATTCACCCACCTAATGGTCAAGGTTAGGATGTGGGGTTGGGAATCTGATCCGAGATCAGTGGTTAGTGTGTTGTTACCTATGTCAGTGACAGTGTCCCTGCTCTGGGACAGCAGTCCCTCCTCGTTCTCTGACTCTGAGTCCTGGCGGGACATCTTGGTGCTCTTCAGGCTGCCGGCCCGGCGGATGGAGGACAGCGAGCCCCCCTTCTTCACCCTGAAACTCCTAGCCCCCTTGATCTGCAGCAGGCGAGAGCCCCCGATACGACTCTTCCTGATGGGAGCTGGACCGACAGGGGTGGGGGGTGGAGTGAATTCAAAAGGTTAGTTCCCAATCTCACTTGGTTTATGAAGTCCCATGCTACCCATAGACTGGGTATAAAACATCTTGGGAACACTTTATACAAGGCACACACATACAGGGCCGGATTACTGAACGGACACACAGGGCTTGTGACTTGGGGCCCCAGACCTCCAGGGGGCCCACAACCAATTTGTTGGGGTTGGGGGGAGGTTGTGGGCACTCTGGAGGTTGGGGGCCCCCCAGATAGCATATGATAACAAAATGTGTAGAATTGCAGGAAATTAGCTTTAAAACAGCAACATGACAAAATGTGTAGAATAGCATTTTCCCCCCAAGAACATGTTATCTGAATAGCTTTGAAGTTTCATAATTGTATGTTTCTTAATGGGAAAATATGGCTGTTTTTTTCCATTTCCTGAAAAGTTTCTGTTTTAGAGATAAGAGGTTTTCATCTGACAGGGACCATCATGACCCAGCAGAACTCAATTACCCAGAGGCTCCTGGGCCTTCTTGTCGTCGCAGGCCGTGTCAGACTTGAGCGTGTGGCTGCTGCTGTTCAGAGAGTCGTGGCCGTCCTCATCGTCTAGGATACCGGCGAAGCTGATCTTCCTCTCATAGCGGTGGTGACTCAGCTCAGGGTCCAGCCTCAATCGACAGCTCTCCAAATCCTACAAACACACACAACACAGACACACACACACACACGGATAGACATACACACACACACACACACACACAGACACACACACACACACGGATAGACATACACACACACACACGGACACACACATACGAACAGACAGACACGCACACACACACACACACACGTAAAGACACAAATATGCGCGAACACACACACACTCACCAATTGATTTATAGGGATATGATTGCATTAGATGAGAGGAGTGAGTGAGTGTCAAGTAAGTGAAGTTCTCCTACTGACCACTTGGGGCTCTGTGCGTGGCCGGGGGAGGCAGGGGAATGTCTCTCTGAGGAACGTGGTGATCTCCAGCAGCAACTGGCAGGCGGCCATCTTGAGAGCGAAAGGACAGCCGCATTTTGTTGGGTTGACTGTATCTGGGGACGGATATTTTGGGTCAAAATTTGGCTTAACCCATAAGAGTCTAAGAGGGGTCATATTAGTGTGTAGACCAAACCGTTCGGACGCTACAGACAGAAGTTGGCTATGCCGACTTTAGACGAGTCCAAAGACGCTTGTAGGGGTCGTAGAGCAAAATAGAGAACACCAGTGTGCTCGTGAGAGTCTCATCTTTCCATAGAGGGGCCAACCTGTTTGGACGCTATAGACGAATTTGTGAGAAGACTGATTTTCGGGATGTCTCATGGTCTGACAAACACCGCTCTAGCTCTGTCACCTTTCACCGCAGATGCGGAAGTGCGACATCGGCGGATGCGGTGGATTGATGCAATAAACCTGATATCTCTAGCTTAAACTCACAGATCTTTATGGGGATTTGTGTATTATGCTAATTAGATTTCCGTGGGGGTGCAGACACCAACTTCAGGGGGTTAACTGCCTTTTTTTTTTTTAAGGGATAGTTTACTCAAAATACAAAAATACATTTCTGTGAACTATATTTCCCTATAAGGTGAAGTTTTCCTTTTCTATGGCTTACTGTCGTCTAAGTAGTCCTCCTCCTCGTCCTCCTTTCTCATCCTTCGCTTGGTCTCCTCGTCGTAGATGAAACCCAGGATGTTGGCAGGACTCTCGCTGTCTGAGTGGCACAACTCACTGAGACGTGTACCAATGGCCTGGGAGAGGAAGACCACACACACAGCCACACACACACACACACACACACAAAGCCACACACACACACACAAAGCCACACACACACACACACGCAGAGCCACACACACACGCACGCACACACACACACTATTAGCGCCTGTCTTCATATACAATTTCGGTCAGTAGAATAATTTGATAGTTGGTCCCATCAGACAGTCACTCACATCTCCCCATTGACAGAAGTGCTTGGCTGCGTTCCACTGGAGCTTCTGGTTCCTCTTGTTGCCCACCACGGGCGAGCGTCCCCGAGACAGACCCCGCTTGGTGATGTTCACGTGGTGACCCTTCATCCACTCGGGCCAGTTGCCACGGTTACAGCGGTGGACGAAGCGGGCGCACTCCAGGAACAGGGAGGCTCTGGCAACCACGGGAGCTTCCTGTCGGACACCAGGATGTACAATAATGTCCTGTCAGATCACTGAAAGCTCAATTCAATCAATCCCATATTGCAATATTTACACATTTTTCCCTCTGTCAAATAACATTCCAGAACGGTTGAGTCTAATAAGAACTGCCTATTGCTACATGGCAGACTCCCCTCACAGGAGTATACAGCAGTTGATTGATCATTGATTCATTGAATCAGATGTGCTAGTATTGGATCAGATGAAATATGTGTTAAGGGTGGGGAATCCAGAGGACAGGATTGAAAAACACTGAATTAAACAAAGACACTGTGTAAACATTCATATGACCGGTTTCATTGAACTCCAGCCTGAGACTACAGTATAACTGACCAGGTCGAGCGCAGCAGCCAGGATGGATGCGTCGGGGATGGTGCCGGGCTCGCAGCAGTTCAACAGGAACTGGAAGCGTTTCATGCCCTGGCGGATGGCGCCCAGGTTCACCACGTTCTTGTTCTTCATGGCCTCCTGGCTGGCTGCCAGGCGCTCCTGGAACCCCTGTGGGCCTGGTGGAGGAGGAAGGGAGCGGGAGGGGGAGAGAGAGGGGGAGGGGAGATGAGGTATGGGAAGGATGGGGAAGGGTAGAGGAGAGGGAGAGAGAGGGGGAGCGGAGATGAGGTATGGGAAGGATGGGGAAGGGTAGAGGAGAGGGAGGGGTGGGAAGGAGGGGGAGGGGAGGGGAGGAGGAGAGAGAGAGGGGAGAGGAAGAGGGGATGAGGGGAGGGAGGGAGGGATAGGGCGAGAACAGAGATAGAGAGATAGAGAGATAGAGAGATAGAGAGATAGAGAGATAGAGAGATAGAGAGATAGAGAGAGAGAGATAGATAGAGATAGATAGATAGATAGATAGATAGATAGATAGATAGATAGATAGATAGATAGATAGATAGATAGATAGATAGATAGATAGATAGATAGATAGATAGAGAGGGGGGAGGAAGAGGGGAAGGAGGAGGGAGGGAGGGATAGGAGGATAACAGAGAGAGAGAGAGAGAGAGAGAGAGAGAGAGAGAGAGAGAGAGAGAGAGAGAGAGAGAGAGAAAGAGGGGGAGGGGGAGGGAGTGATAGGGGGAGAAGAGAGATATAGATAGAGACAGAGACAGCAGTAACAGAGACAAGAGGTGAGTAGGGCAGACTAGGGCCATCTGGGCCTGGACCTCTATTCTACAGCATAACTAGAGCCTGGAGGTTTTTCTGACCATGTGATCTAACCAGGAAAAACTCAGGGCTCTGGGCATTATCTTTGCGAGTGCTGGCATGAATGACACACCCATATAGCAACATGATCACACAAAAGAACGAGAGAACAGGCTGCCCATAGAACATTGCATGACTAGGTAATGTCTGAATCCATTGAATGGAAAGCACCATCGAGCCACTCAACAAATGAAGCTGGAGAGAAAGCTGGACACACGGTCATTAAGCTAAGAAATGTGGAACATTAAACAAATATGATGACTTTATTTCTATCCATAATGAGATAGGTGGTTCAACGAAGACATACTGTATGACAACAGTTACAGCATCATGCGCCACACATGTAAAGTGTAAAGTCCCCCTCTCTACCCCCCTCTCCTCTTCTCTGTCCCTCTACCCGTCTTGTCCCTCTCTCCCTCCTTCTCCCTGTCCCTCTACCTGTCTCTCATGTCCATGGGGACATTGGAGGACATGGAGGTATCCGTATGTGGCTAGATTGCGCCGGGTAAGCAGAAGGACCATGGAGCGTCCTCTAGCCAGGAGAAGAGTTCGACATGGCTGCCATTAAACAGGGATGGAACAGACCCCTGGGACAAAAAACACCTAATGGGGGATAATACAGTGGGACAATAAAGGACTGTAGGTGTGGGCACTGGGCAGAGGTGACAAGGGACTGTCCAGTGAGCTAAAAGACATGACTGAAGTTCAATGGGCATTTGCTTGAAAAGCTGATGGTTAATATTACTTCTGGAGATTGCCCCTTGCTAGGGCATCATGAATGAGTCTAGGGCATCATGTATGAGTCTAGGGCATCATGTATGAATCTAGGGCATCATGTATGCGTCTAGGGCATAATGTATGGGGCTAGGGCATCATGTATGGGGCTAGGGCATAATGTATGAGTCTAGGGCATCATGTATGAGTCTAGGGCATCATGTATGAGTCTAGGGCATCAGGTATGGGGCTAGAGCATCATGTATGAGTCTAGGGCATCATGTATGAGTCTAGGGCATAATGTATGAGTCTAGGGCATCATGTATGAGTCTAGGGCATCAGGTATGGGGCTAGAGCATCATGTATGAGACTAGGGCATCATGTATGAGTCTAGGGCATAATGTATGAGTCTAGGGCATCATGTATGAGTCTAGGGCATCATGTATGGGGCTAGGGGTCTCCCCCCCTCAATCTGCCTGAGGCTTGCACAGGCAGTGGCTGACAAATACACACAAACACCACTGGCATGAAAGATGGCGGCAGAGAGAGGACAGAGCACTGGACGCACAGGGCAGACCAACGGACAGACCACGGACAGACTACGGACGGGACAGGACAGTCAGGCACACACACACAGAGCGGCGGGCGGGGTGAGGGAGCGAGCGGGCGAGCGGGCGGGGGGGGGGTGATAGGGGACACCCCGGGGGTCTACCATCTTTCTCTTCTGTGTGGTGAAGCTTGGATGGGTTCCGCCTGCCAGACCGCCATTTACCGAGCCGCTTGAAGAAATTCTCCTCCTCGTCCCGGCCGTACTCCACGCCCCCCGCTCCCCCGCCGCCCTCCGACAGCTTCACGTTGCTGGTGAACTTCACCTGCAGGCAGAGACAGAGAAAAGACTGTCAACACCACCGGCAGTAGAAAAAATAATATGTAGCATTTAAAAGATAAATAACTTATAATAATAAGTCATGAATAAATAAACAGAAATAACAAGTTGTAAACAAAAGAAACACAAAGCTGTGATCTAACTAGTCATTTTGTCATTAAATAGATTTGCTTGTATATCCCTTAGAAATGATCAAAATGCCCAGTTACAATACAAGAGCACATGGTGGGCTCAGCTCAGTAGTGAGAAAAGGTTATACATCAGCCCATGGTGGTAAGTAGACCAGGTTCCTGGAGAGATACCGTGTAAGTTTTCACTCCAACCCTAATCTAGCACACCTGATTCTAACAATTAGCTGGTTGATAAACTGAATCAGGTTAGTTACAACTGGGGTTGGAGCGAAAACCTACAGGAGGGTCGTTCTCCAGGAACAGGGTTGAAGAGCACTGAAGTAAACAGTTGTGAGAGACAGGCCCCTTGTGGTCAGTAGGTGACCCCTGACCTTGGAGCTCTGGCGGATGAAGGAGAGTCGGTCCACAGAGCTGATGTCCAGCAAGTCCTCAACCCCGTCGGTCAGCCCAGAGAGAGATGACCGCTTAAGCCAGTTCCCTGCAAACACACCCCACCCCACCCCAGTCAGAGGAATGGAGGGATGGATGGAGGGAGGGACAGAGGAGTGCAGAGGGGGTAAACATCACACTTATACATCGAGACAAACACATATAGGCAGAACACATACTGAATACACACACGCACACACAGAACCATAAACACGAATAAAAGTGAATCCACACAAATGCAGACAGGATAGCATAAAACACTTGATCATAGGACAAGGCACATAGGAGCAGTTATACACAACAAACAAAGAGGGTCTGTGAAGCACACACACACACAGACATACGTAAGACAGAGATGGTAATTGGAAGGCGAACAGTCCCACGGCATGCTAGGGACAAAAGGAACACAAAGAAGACCAAAAAGAGATGAATTGTCTACTCATCACCCGTACAACAGAAACATGATGTTAGCCTACAGAAACAGGAAGTTAGCCTACAGAAACAGGAAGTTAGCCTACAGAAACATGATGTTAGCCTACAGAAACAGGAAGTTAGCCTACAGAAACATGATGTTAGCCTACAGAAACATGATGTTAGCTTACAGAAACACGATGTTAGCCTACAGAAACGTGTTAGCCTACAGAAACATGAATTTAGCCTACAGAGACATGAAATTAGTCTACAGAGACATTATGTTAGCTTACATAAACACGAAGTTAGCCTACAGAAACATGATGTTAGCTTACAGAAATGTGTTAGCCTACAGAAACATGATGTTAGCCTACAGAAACATGATGTTAGCCTACAGAAACACGAAGTTAGCCTATAGAAACATGATGGAGCACATAGGAGCAGTTCTACACAACAAACAAAGAGGGTCTGTGAAGCACACACACACACAGACATACGTAAGACAGAGATGGTAATTGGAAGGTGAACAGTCCCACGGCATGCTAGGGACAAAAGGAACACAAAGAAGACCAAAAAGAGATGAATTGTCTACTCATCACCCGTACAACAGAAACATGATGTTAGGCTACAGAAACAGGAAGTTAGCCTACAGAAACATGATGTTAGCCTACAGAAACAGGAAGTTATCTTACAAAAACATGATTTTAGCCTACAGAAATTAGCCTACAGAGACATGAAGTTAGGCTACAGAGACATTATGTTAGCCTACAGAAACACAAAGTTAGCCTATGGAAACATGATGTTTGCCTACAGAAATATGATGTTAGTCTACAGACACGTGAAGTTAGCCTACAGAAACATGATGTTAGCCTACGGAAACATGATGTTAGCCTACAGAAACACGATGTTGCCTACAGAAACATGATGTTAGCCTACAGAAACATGATGTTAGCCTACAGAAACATGAAATTAGCCTACAGAAACATGAAGTTAGCCTACAGAGACATGAAGTTAGCCTACAGAGACATTATGTTAGCCTGCAGAAACACAAAGTTAGCCTACAGAAACATGATGTTTGCCTAGAGAAATATGATGTTAGTCTACAGAAACATGATGTTAGCCTACATAAACATGATGTTAGCCTACAGAAACATGATGTTAGCCTACAGAAACACAAAGTTAGCCTACATAAACATGATGTTAGCCTACAGAAACATGATGTTGCCTACAGAAACATGATGTTAGCCTACAGAAACATGATGTTAGCCTACAGAAACATGAAATTAGCCTACAGAAACATGAAGTTAGCCTACAGAGACATGATGTTAGCCTACAGAGACATTATGTTAGCCTGCAGAAACACAAAGTTAGCCTACAGAAACATGATGTTTGCCTAGAGAAATATGATGTTAGTCTACAGAAACATGATGTTAGCCTACAGAAACATGATGTTAGCCTACAGAAACATGATGTTAGCCTACAGAAACACAAAGTTAGCCTACAGAAACATGATGTTAGCCTACAGAAACATGATGTTACATAATGTTAGCCTACAAAACATGATGTTAATCTACATAAGCATGATGTTAGCCTAGAGAAACATGATGTTAGCCGACAGAAACATGATGTTAGCCTACACACAACCCATATACTGGAGCTATGAGTTCATCACTACACTCCAGTTAAGACAGAGAATGACACATTCATGATACACATTTACATAAGTATTCAGACCCTTTACTCAGTACTTTGTTGAAGCACCTTTAGCAGCGATTACAGCCTCAGGTCTTCTTAGGTATGACGCTACAAGTTTGGCACACCTGTATTTGGGGAGTTTCTCCCATTCTTCTCTGCAGATCCTCTCAAGCTCTGTCAGGTTGGAAGGGGAGCGTCGCTGCACAGCTGTTTTCAGGTCTCTCCAGAGATGTTAGATCGGGTTTAAGTCTGGGCTCTGGCTGGGCCACTCAAGGACATTCAGAGACTTGTCCCGAAGCCACTCTTGCGTTGTCTTTGCTGTGTACTTAGGGTCATTGTCCTGAGCACTCTGGAGCAGGTTTTCATCAAGGATCTTTCTGTACTTGGCTACATTCATCTTTCCCTCGATCCTGACTAGTCTCCAAATCCCTGCCACTAAAAAACATCCCCACAGCATGATGCTGCCACCACTATGCTTCACCGTAGGATGGTATTAGCCAGGTGATGAGCGGTGCCCGGTTTCCTCCAGACGTGACACTTGGCATTCAGGCCAAAGAGTTCAATCATGGTTTCATCAGACCAGAGAATCTTATTCCTCATGGTCTGAGAGTCCTTTAGGTGCCTTTTGGCAAACTCCAAGCGGGCTGTCATGTGCCTTTTACTGAGGAGTGGCTTCCGTCTGGCCACTCTACCATAAAGGCCTGAAGGCCTGCTGCAGAGATGGTTGTTCTTCTGGAAGGTTCTCCCATCTCCACAGAGGAACTCTGGAGCTCTGTCAGAGTGGCCATCGGGTTCTTGGTCACCTCCCTGACCAAGGCCCTTCTCCCCTGATTGCTCAGTTTGGCCGGGAGGCCAGCTCTAGGAAGAGTCTTGGTGGTTCCAAACTTCTTCCATTTAAGAATGATGGATGCCACTGTGTTCTTGGGGACCTTCAATGCTGCAGAAATGTTTTGGTACCCTTCCCTAGATCTGTGCCTCGACAAAATCCTGTCTCGGAGCTCTACGGACAATTCCTTTGACCTCATGGCTTGGTTTTTGCTCTGACATGCACTGTCAACTGTGGGACCTTATACAGACAGGTGTGTGCCTTTCCAAATCATGTATAATCAATTGAATTTACCACAGGTGGACTTTACCACAGAGACTTCATCTCAAGGATGATAAATGGAAACAGGATGCACCTGAGCTCAATTTCGAGTCTCATAGCAAAGGGTCTGAATACTTATGTAAATAAGGTATTTCTGTTTTTTATTTTAAATAAATGTGTAAACATTTCTTAAAACCAGTTTTTTGCTTTGTCATTCTGGGGTAATGTGTGTCGATTGATGAGGAAAAAAATCTATTTATTCCATTTTAGAATAAGGCTGTAACGTAACAAAATGTGGGAAAAGTAAAGAGGTCTGAATACTTTTCGAATGCACTGTATGTGTTTCCATCAAATAGACAGATAAAAGGCTGTGCATGATAATGTAGTGCATAAAAATACCTTTTGCGGTTAAATTCCTGTGTACCGAATAACAAATTCAAGTTAAATGGGTTATATAGCGAGTGTGCCCACTCTGGTATTGGCATGTGCTCGCACATATAGCCTACATGATGAGATTATAATGGACAAAAGAGCGAGATTATTTTTATTTGTCAAACGGCAGCCAAGCATCGATGATCATGTCACCAGAATAAGACCCTCGATATTTATTGGAAAGGAGCATCAAGCTCAACACTGTGCACTTTCACCACCTTGTGAAGTTCATCATAACTTATTTCATCTGTAGCCTGATAAACTGTATGCTTTCCAGACTAGTCGTAGTGGGAGGATGTCACACATGTCATCGTGTGACTCCAAGTTTACTTCGACATAATGGTTATTATATCAGCGTTTCCACCGACACTTCTCGCATAATTCATTTTACTGAAAAAAAGATCCCACCTTGTCTAGCGTATTTTGTTTTGTCGACATTTGTAACGTTTACTGAAAAAAATTATGTTTCCATCAGGCTTGTCATGAAATGTTTTGTCTAACATGTACTTTACTCGCATAAAAAGGTTAGATGGAAACCTGGTTAATGAGAGATCAGGATTTGACCCTTAGAGGATGACATCACCAGAATGAATCGTCATTTCCATAGATGGACACAGGGTGGCGCTGTGGTACTGTGGGGGGCACTGCCACGTACCGATGGGCAGCTTGAGCTTCTTGCGCAGGGAGATACGTCGGGATCGCGAGCGGGTGCGTCGGTCCGTGGTGGTGCCCGAGTGGGCGGTGGTGCACTCTGACGTGTCCTGCTCTGATTGGCTGCTGGTGTCGCTGGCGGCACTCTGCGACTTGAACATCTTCCTCCAGAAGTCCTTCTTGCCCAGCAGAGCCCCCGGAATCTGTTCATCACTGGGGAGAGAAACAAGAATGGAGAGAGAGAGAGAGAGAGAGAGAGAGAGAGAGAGAGAGAGAGAGAGAGA